ACCCCGAAAATAAGCGTTCGGAGAATTTCTTTTTCAAAATTTTATCAACTAACAAGAATTTTTTCTATGAAATATTGCATTTTTTGTTAGATATTGCTGTTTCCTATATTTATCTAGTTCTATTACGTTAAAATTTTTATTAAGAAAATTAATATCTGATCAAAAATTTTGGATTTTACGATATTACATGTCAAACATTGATCCGACTAATCACTAATCTAAACATAACGAAACCGATCATTGATACTACAAAATATTGGATAACCGTTTTACATCCATCTTTATCAAAATAGAGCATATTAATGCACCAAAATGTCCTTGTTTAATTTAGAGCTTACATGAATTCGTTTTTTTAAAAAAATAAAAAATTATATATATAGATGTATGTTAAAATAAATTAGTTCTTTTTATGTTAAAAGAAATAGCTAATTGAAACTAGTTTTAGGCGCCTTCTTAGGTTTTGGAAGGGATAGATAAGGTTTTTGAAGGGGCATTGTCACTTTCATGCATATGCTTTACGTTTCTTAGTCACCAAAAAGTTATTCTTATCACAATTAACTATACACAAATTAATGTAGAAAATAACATAAAGAAACATCTTCAAGAAAATGTTGCATTTTGTCTCATCAGCAAACATAATTCAAAAGAGAGAGACGGGTACCATATGTCATCCGTGGATTGGAGGACCTGAATTAAAATTTGACTCCTACAAATATCAAATTTTCTTCGAGTAGAATTATTTCTCTCTTTGAATTAGCTCAACATTTCGTCTAAGTTTGACAATGACACAACCTCATATAATATAATTCATTTTCCTCTTGTGTGGCAAGGAGGACCCGACGACTGGCCATACATACCCCAACATATATATAATTGTCACCATGTAGTTAACTGAATTTTAAGAACTATCCCGGAAAAACATAAAGAAAACTGCACGTATGTATACAATTATTATTTTGGTCGATAGATATTATTATCTAAGAACCCTGTAATCTCTACCTCTAATGCCACCTAAGATAATAGTCAAACCGAATCTAAGAGCATCAAATTTAATGACTTGTTATCTAGTCATGCTGCTATAGATGTGGCATTTTCTCCATCTTAAACTATATATGTTGTGATTATGGACATAATTCTTTTCGGATTATTCTTTTTGTTTTTGTTTTAATCTTAAGATAAATAAATGATGGAATAAATGAAGGCATCGAACATTGAATATGGGGTGTCAAAATATAAACAAGATAATGTTGAAGGGAAGATTTGAACCTATGACATGTAGAACATTACTTTTGTGTCACATTACCCTTAAAATAATCCAAACATTACTTTTGTCGCCGACTCGCCGTTGGTTACTTTTTCTTTATAGTTATCTAATGTATACAACCGAATAAAAGTGAGAATGGATAAACTTTGTTGGGACCTACAGAGCATGTGCATATTTGTCGGACCGACATAATATCCCATGTGGGCAGATACCAATAGTTGTCGAGCTTAGGACCAATTATTTATATACTATAACTAACGAAAGAATCTGACCCAAAGAAAAAGAACTAACGAAAGAATGTGGTTGTTGAGTGGCAAAATTTGAATGGAAATATGATTATTCTTACAGATCCAATATATTCTTACTGATCTAAGTTCGGAATCAAATTTGATTATATTTACTATTGGTTATTTGGTGACTAAAAGTTTTAATCAACAAAAAATCTGTTTTTTATAGACCTTGAAGATTATAAAAAGACATTTTCCTACATATAACATAACAAGCACACTAAAATTGACATGAATATATAGGATATACTAGTTTATTTTTTTGCCAGGATATACTAGTTAAAAATAGGATAACAACACTAAATGATTCAAATTTGTCCTGTTTTATTCAGAAACAACAACTAAAGTTTTTGTGATCTGAACGTTATTTTGACGGGAAGTTGACGTAAATAATTGTCGTCAGAACTATTAAACTTATAATTAATACGTGCATTTTTTTCAATAACAGCAACTCATACGTAGACAAAAAGACGCACATGACTAGGATGAAGTGGTATCATGGAAGAGACCAAACCAGAGCATAAGGAATGTATGCTGACTGCTGAGGATGTTGATGATGGATTAGAGACTGGGGCTGAGGGGCTAGAGCCATCCGAGGGACAATTGGTCGATCAAGACCCGCCAATTTGCTTCTTAGGATTTGCTGAATCAAACTCATTTTCTCCTAAATATATCTATGTTTTCAGCTTATGTGGATATAACGGTTATGTGGGAAAATCACGAATTTACGTTTTTGGCTGGAAAATAACGGATTTACGTTTTTGGTGGGAAAATCATTGATTTACGTTTTTGGCGGGAAAATCATAGATTTACGTTTTTGGCGGGAAAATCACAGATTTACGTTTTTTGGCGGGAAAATTATCCATCATCATTTTTGGTTAAAAATTTTAAAAAATTTTTGCGGGAAAATTATGGATTTACGTTCTTGGCGGGAAAATCACGAATTTATATTTTTGGCGGGAAAATTGTGTATTCACATTTTTGGCGGGAAAATTAAGGATTATATTCAATCGGTTTAAAAGTTTTGGTTAGACTCAAATTGAAATCGGTTTAGAGATTTGGATTGGTTTGATTCAATTTAATAAAAATTGTTGGGTTAAATGGGTAAACCATTGACCCATTACAACCCAACTCATTTCACCCATCAACCCATTTGACTCAATAACTCATTTGATCCATCAACTCATCTGAGTCAAAAATTTCAACTCATTAGAGTTCATGGATTGAGTTGAGTTGAGTTGATCCATGAATCTTGACCCATTTTGACACCCCTGATATAACCATTAGATCAACTTACGTTTGTATATATATTTTATTTGTCCTCATTCCTATATCCTTAGTTGTGAACCTATGTTTATATATTATATTATATGACGCACATACTAGCTCTTTAGTAATCCTCTCAATAAACCAACAAATTGATGACGCGCTGAACTATTTATTTGTTTGGTCTCAATGATAACTTATCTATGAACTTACCCATAACATCTCTATAGCCAAATTCCATTGATATATAACATGAAACAAAAGACACCTTATACAGGTGGTGGTGGAAATGACAAACGACTAAATGGGTTTTGGATGAATTGTCGGTGACTTTTAGTTATAAGATTGGTTTGGCATGTATACATTTCGTCAAATTATTTTGCAGTGTCTTGTCAAGTTATATTCCTTTTTCACCCTAGCAAAGTTTCATTTCGTATCCTTTTACCAAAAAAAAAAAAAAAAGTATTTACAAAATTGAATTTGAGAAATACCCTAAAAGTTAAAAACTCTTAGAAAACTGAAAGCTTGGAAATGTTATACTACAATATGGTTAACTAATTTTCCTTAATAGCACCTTTCCATTATGCTTTTAATAAACAATTTTTTTAATAGACTTCTTTATGCACTTCGATGTAACAAGTTTTTTCTACATTTTCATTATCTTTTTACTTGAGACATTTTACGCTCTCTATTTTCTTTTTGTTTTTTGAATGACGGTCGAATGACTCTGTTCGTAGTACGGTGGAAGAGTGTTCGTTGATAGTTAAGTTTGTCATTTTATAGAATCCGATAAAACTTAAAACAACATGTGGTTTAGGATTTTGTAATTAGAGTTTATATTTTTATTATTTAAGATAAGATATTGAAAAATAAGAATTTATCATTAAGAACTAAGAAGATAAACACTGTTTTTAAAGAATAACAAGTGAAAGTTTCAAAATTTTTAGTCAAAGAATAAATTTTTATTTTTATTAACTTACAAACATTTTTGAAAACTATATTTTTGTCATAATACTAGAAAAATATTTACATTATTGGAAACAAATTGTTATGCATTCAAAGATGAGTTAAAATTGGGTTTAATATAACAACAAGATGCCAAAGCCAAAGTTTTATTTAAATTTTCAAAGTATGTAAAAGTTTTTTACACCCTGAATTTTTTTTTTTTTTTTTTGAAAACTTGCGAAAATTTCCAAAAAGTTCTTTCCAAATTCATTGAAAATATTGACAATTTCAAATGAAAATATATGATTGACATTATGGACCAAAACATTTTACCGCTAAGTTACAGAGTTACCCAGTTATAATTCTGCGTTGGCATAAACTTGTCCCAAAAATTAAAATCATATTTTAATAAAAAAAAATTGGATGTGTTATTCAGAAAGAAAAAAATAAAATAAAAGATGCTACCTAGAATATTACCTCTTACAAGTTATAAACCTGGAAATCATTAGAACGAAGATATTTGTGAATTGTGATAATACATTTTCTGAAATAATATCTTCATCAGCATGTTTCAGCATGTTTACAGTACATATTATATATCTCAAACTAGCTAGTTGTAAAAATTCGTCTTAGGATATATGTTTACCGTCGTAGACAATCACGTAATCGCTTATATAACTTGCACACATAGAAAGATGACTTTTCTATAGTACTGTTTCTTTTGACTTTTTTTTTTTATATACAATAGATTCCCAGTACCTACGGTGATAAATTCGACGGTTGTCAAAACCGTTAGGAAAAATCCGTAATAAATTAAAAAACCAAATTAATAAACTAAAATACATATAGCCTTATAGTAGTCTAGCATAAGAATCTAGATTAGTTGTAGTTTTATATTATCCTAGTAACCTTATGTCAAACACTTTTTTAATTCCTAACCAATTATATATGCATGTAAAGTCAATTCTTACTGGTCCCTGAAATATATATTTCCACCTGAGAATTCCGAGGGTTAGATCAATTGAATAACCCATATACCACAACTAATGCCTTTGTGTTCGTGCATGATCAGTTTTATAATCAAAGAAATAGGAATCGGATTTGGTTTTAGTTTGTTGTGGATCCCATCATGTTCTCCCCACTAATGACCAAAACTACTCGATTCATAAGTCATAACCGATTCAATTTATTTTTCTGTTTTCTATAAATAGAAAATCGCAATGCATACAAAACCATCATACTCTCTCGATATAATCTCATTTTGCATCTCTCTCTTAACCCCCACCCCTCAAAAGTCACCTTTCTTCCTCTACTATGGCGACTTTGATCCTTAAGCATTCTCTGATCATACTCCTAATCATATTTTCATCACAAACCTTAAGATCTCAAGCTCGAATCCTCCGTTCATATCGTGTCGTGTCCATGAGCAATGTGGATAGTCAGGTTCTCCTACGTGAACTCGGGTTTGATCTCTCTAAGTTCAAAGGTCATAACGAGAGGCGATTTTTAGTGAGTTCCGACAGGGTTTCACCGGGAGGTCCCGATCCGCAACACCATTAAATGGTCGTCACATATATAAATACTTTACCAAAGATCCAAGCACAAATAATGTGAGGACGGATCCATCATCCATGCAAGTCATATGATTATCGCTATTTCTATGTTTTCTTTCCTCTCTTTGTTTTTCATAAAACCTTACTATACGTACAATTTTGTTGTATCAAGGTTTTGGTATTCTTGTACCACCTTACCTTGATACACCAAGCTTTTTCTATGTATGTTTTCTGTGTCTCCAACGAGTTACCTTTTATGTAACAACCATTGGCTAATAATTAATGTTCCCCGGGGTTTTTTTTTTTGTTTGAGTTTTACCATTTCATTTGAAAGATAGAGGAATATAATGATTGGACGTCTTAGCACTTCAAAATGCAAACGATTAATTTTTTTGATTAGATGCTACTATGCAAGGTTTTAGAAGGTTAATTCGAGATTCAGAAAGATAAAATTTTTGAAAAACTTATCTGGATGTTACTAATATGTTTTGAATTATATCAAATTTGCAGTTTCAGCTTAGATAATGAATGATTAGTAAGAGACAGTAATAAATTGTTTTCCACAGATATTGAAAAAATCTTAGAAAATGCATTTGTTTCATCAGATATTGCAAAACTTTATTGGGTCCAGTTGTAAAAATGACACTTATGAATTTAAGTTACTCGGCTATCCTCAGAATTTTTGTTTATCATGGTCTAATGTACTGTCCAGTGAAAAATTATAAATACATGTTCAAGAGTTTTGAAATATAGAATAAATTGTAGTTATTATCCTTAATGTTGATGGTGAAGTTAAATTAATTGTATATTACATTTGTAACCAATTAAACTTATAAAATATTTCTTGCATCTAGAACCACTTAAAAATATTTTGAAACAGTTCAGCTATACAAGTCATAAAATATCTGATCCAACTAGTAAATTTAGATATAAGATATAACAAAAGTTCAAGTATAAGATTGAGACAGTCTTTAGTGTGGATCTCTGGTACTTCTACTACAGCCCAACTATTCAAACAAAGTGATCTCAAATTAATTAATTAATTTTTTTTGTCAACCACAGATTAATTAAAAAATAATTCTATGATTGATTGTCTAATTAGGAAAAGAAATATTTACAAAAGTAACTTCAAAAAATAAAAGTCTACAATAACGGACTAAGCAGTCCGCTCTAAAATTACATAAACAAAAAATAAGAGAAAGCGAGAAGAAGAAAAAAGATACACAGAGCAATCCAAAATCATCTAGCAGATTGGAGAAGCGGGTCATTCTTCAGATGATTGTATCATCGAGACTAACTCTGGTCAATCTGTTTCAAACGCCTGATAATCAATCCTTCTTGAAAGGATGTTCTTTATAGCCCAAATTAAATCTTTCATCTCCGAATGAAGATGGGAGGGACATCTCTGAATGCACTTTGCACCAAGCAGTATCGTTTTATCTATTCTTTGAAAACACCACCATGCTATACCCATAGTTGGATCTGAAGATTTCCAAGAACCATCAATCTGACATCTTATAGATACCACTAAAAAATATTATTTTATAGATTGTTATCGAGTAATAATTTTAAAAAATTATAGTCTATTTACATAGTTTTAAAATAATATGTTTTCTTGTAAGGAGTAACTTATTTGCCTATATAACCTTCACAGTTCACACCTACAAAGATGACTCCCATTAAACATTACAATGACATATAACATTACAATAAATGCTATTAAAATTAGGGGCATTTCTCAGAAATTCTCTTAGAAATATAATGTCTATAATACAAGATTGGCTTTTTCTTTGTAAACTATGCATGTTTTATCATACTTATAAGTGTCATTAGTCTTTCGGTTATCTAAGAATTTATATATATATATATATATATATATTCTATTATATATATACTCGTCACTAATAAACATAATTTTATTTTCCAAATTGTAACCAAAAATAATAGGGCGAAAACTATAATTGTATTTTAAATCAGGTATTGAAATTGATATTTTTGTTATGAAACAAAACAAAAAGTATGACTATTATCAAAGAGATATAGTACAATCGATTCTTAGTACTTGCAATTATAAATTAACATTTGTAAAAACAGGTCGGTCTCTAGGATTAGGCAAGGTAGGCATTTGACATGGATTCGAAGTAAATTCTACAAAGTTTTTTAAAATAAAAATAAAATAATTTTTAGAGAAAATAAATTTTACTCCTATTAAAATTTTTGAATCTTGCTTTAGTTTTGCCAAAGGTATTCCTATAGATCAAAACGGGACTCTCTAAAGAGCTCAAGAAAAATTCATTAGAAACAACAAAAGCAAATAAATGATTTAGATTATATATATATATATATATATATATATATATATATATATATATATTGTAGCATAAGAATCTAGGTTAGTAGTAGTGTAGCATAAGAATCTATTATCCTAGTGAACCTTATTATCCTAGTAATTTTATGGATGTAAAGTCAATTAACCAGGTCAAAGATAACTAAAATAAAAATATTGTTGGGCTAAATATATATTTTTCTCGTAACTATAACTAAAATTTTAAAAAATGGGGAGGTCAGCTGCCACCCCTTTCATGAACGTAGGTCCGCCAGTATATGGATGTAAAGTCAATTACTATACTGGTCCCTGAAGTATAGATTTCCACCTGAGAATGTCGATCGTTAAGGGTCAATTAAATAACCCATATCGTAAACAATGTTTTTGTGTGTGCATGCATGAATTTTTTTATTCTTTTTTTTTTCAACTCATGCATGAGTTTTATAATCCAAAATATGAGTCGGATTTGGCTTTCATTAGTTTCAGTTGTGGATCCCATCATGTTCTCTCCACTTGCCCAAACTAATCTATCCTTAACCTGTTCCCGTTGCATGTTTGTGTCTTTAATTACCTATAAATAGAAAATATCAACACATACAAGTCATCATACTCTCTCAGCTTCATCTCTTTCTCTCTCTCTCTCAATCTCTGCAAATCCCACAAATCACTTTTCTTCTTCTTATTCACCTTTTATGGCGAATTCGATCCTTAAGCAATCTCTAATCATACTCCTAATCATATTTTCATCACCAATCTTTAGTTCTCAAGCTCGAATCCTCCGTACATATCACCCCACGGCCGTGGGCAATATGGATAGTCAGGTTCTTTTACGTGAACTCGGGATTGATCTCTCTAAGTTCAAAGGTAATAGCGAAAGGCGGTTTTTAGTGGATTCCGAAAGGGTTTCACCAGGAGGCCCTGACCCACAACACCATTACTGATCTTTACAGATATATATACTTTACCGGAGATCGATCCAAGCACAAATAATTGTGACTGATCCATGCAAGTCGTTTGAATATCGCCATTTATATGCTTTTCTTTTCTTTTTCATAAATCTTACGTACAATTTTGTTGTACAAGGTTTTTGGTATTTTTGTATACCTCCTTATCTTTTATACATCAAGCTCTTTCTCTCTATGTCTTCTTGTGTCTCCAATGAGTTACCTTTTATGTAACAACGATTGGCTATCTATTTAATGTTCCTCTGTCTTTTATCTTTTGAGTTTTACCTTTTCCATTTGTAGCTAGGAAACAAACAAATTATAGACCCTAGAGGATTTTTAAAAAATAATAATGATTGATATCTGCACTTCAAAATACATATGACCCAACGATTAGTTTTTTTTTTTTTATGATTTGATGGCCAAACTATTAATTTAAAATTTATAAAAATTCAAAGTTTTAGTAAGAAATATTTTGTAAACTTACTCAAATGATATGTCATCCAGAAAAACTTATAATTATTAAGATTTAAAGAAAATTGCTTTTCAGCAGAAATTATATATATAGTGGTTGGTGATAGACTATGAAATTGTAAAAACAGTTTGACGCACTCTTTTAAAAATAAAGTTTTGCCGACATCAACTACATGTTGGAAATTTTGAGAGGTTAAAATTATAAACTATAAACCAAGTGTTCTTGGTCTAGTGGTTGCCACTTGTGGAGGAGTTGCCCTCTTGGTCTAGGCCAGAGATCGATTCTCCGCAAGCGCACAATTGTTAAATCTCCACTTGGCCACATGGATATGGGCCCTTGCTTTCGGCCCATTTGCATACCCGGAGAGAGAATTTATCTGTGGGCTGCACCTCCACCAAGGGATTAGTCTGGACCTCTCCATAGGTCTGGGATTACTCTGAGTTATAAAAAAAAAAAACTATAAACTCGACAAATTAACATTATTCTCCGCAAAAAGATTATTCTCTACAATTCTTTTCTACGCGCGCAGAGATAGATTCTTTTCTCTTGACTTCATTTAATTTGAATGTACTTTATCATCAATCAATAATATCCTAGCCTTGACATTCTCATATTAGTCTTGGAACGTTCTGCCACCAGTTGAAAAGATTAGTGTTTGATGACCTATGACGACAAGATTGGTAAGTATATACCTTTTGTAGAAAATAAAATAAAAAATCTACCAAATAACCTGTTTCAACAAAATTGATTTTGGACTTAGTTTTGTTGGTACGTAGATATATCAATACATATATACTCTTTTTTTCATGGCAACAGGATAAACACATTTTGTGTTTTGCAATGTTTTAAGACCTTTGACCCAGACCGACCAATTGGATCGATAAAATTGGGACCTGGTGACTATTCTGGTATGGATATATTGGTAAAACCTACAACTTATCGAACCCGCTAATAATCGATGAGTCGTCAATAATATGTTATCTGGCCGAATAACGATTAAAAAGTTATTTTAACTTATTTAGAGCGTTTAATTTTAAACATTTACTACACCTATATTTTTTTGGTAAGGGCATTTACTACACATATATGATTTGGTTTGACCTAAAATTTATTAAACTAGATGAATGCGTGGGTTTGTTTTGAAAATTGTTAAGAATAAATTATGTTGATTCTCTTTTTTCTAATCTATGTCTATTTTTGTTGTTTGTTATTTAGTAGTTAATAAAATTATATTCATCTTATCTAGTTATATATTATTTTTATGGTTAGATTCATTTTTAACTCGAAATATCAAAGATCGTATAGATTCATTTTTAGATTTATTATGGTTAGATTCATGTATAAATCTGATTGTTTATATATCTAAGATCGTAATATTTTCACTATCATAAATACATACAACAACAATATAAGATATTTTGATATAATGATATGTAATTATGTTACTTGTGTGGTTTGAAACTTGCCTAATTTAATTATAAATAAACAATTTCTTGTTCTATGTACTATTCTTATCTAGTATTCGAGTCACATCTGGAAAGGCTCATGATTAAATATTGGATTGACATCATTTGAACACGATCTCAAGAGTTTTCTATGAAAAGAAAAAAAATAAAAATTGAAGAGTCATTTAAGTGAACATTTTTAGATCTTCTGCTATTGATATAGCCATATAAGAAAAATAGTCAGTGTCATGCATGAATTCTTTGGTATGTCTAACGTCTCAAAGACACATTACTTAAAAAAACTTCATGTCAATGTTACTAATTTACCATAAGGAACAAAAATGAAAAGAGAGAAGACCATATAATAAGTCGTATATGAACCATAACGTAATAATGAAAAAGACTCAAAGTAAAATTACTAAACTAACTAGGATCGGACCCGCGGTCCACCGCGGGAGAATATTGGTTTACATACGTTGCGTTTAATATTGTGTGTGTTTTTTAGTAGAACGAATCGTGTAGTATACTTATAAGTATTCATAATAACGAATTGTAGAGAAAATGTAAAATTGTTTATAAATATACCCATCGTATTAATTATGATTTACAAAATAGAATTTTGTGTTTTAAAATTCTAAAATTAGACGATTCATGGGAATTAGAGCAGTCAAAATAGGTCAAAAATCGTGGGTCGAGCCCACATCATCTCACTATGGGGCAGATTTGGGAAAATATATTAAACCCGCAAATAAGCGGGCCACATGGATTAATTCGCAGTGGGTCATAGGTTTAATCGGTTTTCATCCGTGGGTTGACGGATCAGCCCGCATATTAGTATTTATTGATAAAATTATAATTTATTCAACATGTGGTAATTTAAACAAACTTTTAATAGTATTTTTATTTATTTTTATTTTAGTAGTATTTTAAATTTTGGTTACTTTAAAATTATTTAAACAAAATCCATGGACAATCCCGCAAATCCGCATACAGTCGCGGGACGGGTTTGTATTTCATATATGCTACCCGCGGGTCGTGCGGACCGACTAACACAAGTCAAAATATTTTTTGTCTATCGCAAAACGGACTTAACGGGACGAATCAACTCGCTTTGACAGTTCTAATGGGAATAATATTTAGTCATACAACAAAATGAAGTTTGGACATAGTAATAATAGAATATGTATCTTATTTGTTAGATGAGAGATTGAAAGATGAAGTATAATGATTAAAAATTAATTATTATTTTTCATGATTCACAAAATTTAATAAATACTTATCATCTTGTTGAATAATTCTAAAATCATATTCAAAAAATCTTTATAAATTGAAAATTAAACTTCTTTGGTAAGCTATAGGTATGAAAATATCATAATTTTGATTTAATCTAATTAAATTAATATTAGTTACATGGATTTCATATCTATTTAATTTACACGACCAAAATAAAAATATCTATTTAATTTATACAACCAAAATAAAAATATCAATTTAATTTATAAAACATATTGGTTATTTGTGATAAATTTTCTAGAAATCTTTAGAAGCAAATAAAATATCTTTCAATTAATGATAATTGGCTAAAATGAGCGAAATTAATGACAAAAACGTTGATTGTTATGGAATTAATCCCAAAAATATATGAACAAATTTATTATACGTAATTAATGTATAATATTGTTCGGAATATGCTTTTATTATTAGTTACCATAAGTACAATCAGATTTTATTTGATTTCCATAAATATTTGATTTTATTTCGATTTTTCATTTTTAATTCGAATTTATATTCCAAAAAAATTTCAAAGATCCGATTTCAGAATTTCGGGACAATTTTCTGATTTTAACCCGACCCATTTTCATTTGTACTTCTCTTTTAATAGTATAGAGATAAAAAGTTAGGTAGCAAACAGTTAAACTACAATACAAATAAATTTTCAGTCATTATCAAGATCATTGATAAAAAAAAAGGTAAAATAAAAAGAGTAGAATAAAATTAAAGTAATGTTTGATTTATTAATATAATTTTGTATTTTATTTTATTTTGAAGAAATCAATTAATAGTAGGATTGATGGAGGATTTAATACAATCAAGGCCATTTATTTATTTTTCATTTAATTTTGTTATTTTTTATTTTAAAATGACACATGTCATCTTCTTGTGTGATGATGTGACAATTATATAAAGAGAGTTGGCCAACTTTTATATATATGATTTATAAATTTTTTGGGAAATTTCTTTTAACTCATTTAATGTTCTACGCCCGCCCTTTTGTGAATTTAATTTACAACTACAATGACTTTGTTTATTTTTTAATAAATATTCAGAGTTCCACACTTTCAAACCATAATCTATTTCATTATTTAGAATCAAATTTTAGATATTCCGATTTTAAAGAATAGTTCTCCGCATCATAATGACTTTTTTGGGAAAATAAAGCAACAATGAAGATAATACATAATATATCTATATTTATGTTTAAATTTTATTAATATATTGACCCGTAGGCTTGATTGCCTCGCTAAACATTGCTTTTGGGATGTATGGATGGGTTATAAAACATGAAATGGTTGGTTGAAAATTTAGATATATTATTATATAATTATAATTATTAAAATATACGAAGTTATCATGAGAAAAGATTAGTTGAACAAATGTCACATTCAAAACATGGGCCTGACACCCCTTGTTATCCGTGAATAAATAAGAATGGGGGAATACATAAAATGGGCCTCGTTCACTTGTCTTCTACGGCAACATATGATTGTTAATCCAATTAGTAAACCCACTTCTCTAATAATAGTAGCTCACAAAACAACAATACTCGTCACTTTTATCTGTACAGAAAAAAAACATTCCAAAACAAAATCAATATTTTCACACAAATATACATTGTCTCAATTTTTTAAAAAAACTCACCAGCATCATTGACAAAAGTATTAGGAACAAGCTCAGCTCCATCAGACATCAAAATGCCTATGAAGGAGGAAACCACCTATGGTTCCAAACGCGCTGCGTCTAACCCCGTAACCCGTCTAAGTTTTGTAATGGGACACAAATAATTCACAATTTTTAGTTGACTAAGACGCATTCATTGTAAAACTTTTTTTTTTTTTTGCTTGAATACAATTTTACATTCATTCAAAAAAAAAAGATCTGAAAAACTATTCTTAAAAGAAACAAAAAGTGAATGATCAAAGATCAAAACTTTTAGAGATTTGGGGACATTTTGAAAAACCCTAGATCGAGAGAGAAACAGAGTTTTTCCTTCCTTCCAAAAACACAGAGAGTAAGAAAAGAGCAAAGAAATGTTTCTTTTACCTGGTACCGGAGATGTCGTCATCGCTGGAATC